TCACAAGGTCAAGAGATCGAGACCATCCTGGTCAACATGGTGAAACCCCGTCTCTACTAAAAATACAAAAAATTAGCTGGGCATGGTGGCGTGTGCCTGTAATCCCAGCTACTCAGGAGGCTGAGGCAGGAGAATTGCCTGAACCCAGGGGGCGGAGGTTGCGGTGAGCCGAGATCGCGCCATTGCACTCCAGCCTGGGTAACAAGAGCGAAACTCCGTCTCAAAAAAAAAAAAAAAAAGAAAATCTAAGAGGGTCCGCCAAGCATGGTGCTTCATGCTTGTAATACCAGCACTTTGGGAGGCCAGGGCAAGAGGATCACTTGAGCCCAGGAGTTGAAACCAGTCTGGGCATCATAGTGAGACTCCCATCTCTACAAAAAAATTTAAAAATTAGCCAGGTGTGATGGTGTGTGCCTGAAGTCCCAGCTACTTGGGAGGCTGAGACAGGAGGATTGCTTGTGCCCCAGAGGTGGAGGCTGCAGTGAGCCTGGGTGACAGAGCAAGTCTCTATCTCAAGAAAAAAGAGATTGAGAGAGAGAGAGAGAGAAGCTAGTTGGGAATATATTGTAATAATACAGGTCAGAGAAGATGGTGCTGTCTTAGACTACAATGTTGTATTAGTTTTATATTGCTGCTCTAACAAATTACAGTCTATTTGCATAAAACAATATAAATGTATTATCTTCACAGTTCTGGAGGTCAGAATTCCAAAATTAATTTCACTGGGCTAAAATCAAGACGTCTGTATGACTGCATTCCTTCTGTAGGCTTTAGGGAAGAATCAGTTTCCCTGACTTTTCCAGCCTATAGAGGCCGCTACATTGCTAACTCATAGACTCTTCCCCAGTTGTCAAAGTCAGCAGCGTATCATCCTTTCTCCCTCTACCCTCAGCTTCCGTGCATCCAGGCTACCATCTCCGTTCTCTGTGACTCTCATCCTCCTACCTCCCTCTTGTAACAACCTGTGGGATTACACTGAGCTCACCTGGATAATCCAGGATAATCTTCTCACATCTCCAGATATTTAATTTAATCATATCTGCAAAGTTCCTTTTATCGTGAGATAAAGTAGAGTCACAAGTAGACTCACAAGAAGACTGGGATGTAGACATGTTTGAAGGGTCATTATTTTTTCTATTACAAGTAGGAACAAGCAGGAACAGCAGAGCTAGAGAAGAATGCAGGTGGCCTGTAATTCCATCAGTGGTGTGAGCCACTGCGCCCCACTTGATTGATTTTTTTTCCCCCCTATCTGGCTGCTTCAGGCCTGAAATCCCAGCACTTTGGGAAGCCAAGAAGTGTGAGACCAGCCTGGGCAACATGGAAAAACTCTATCTCTACAAAGTAAAGAAAGAAAAGGCTGGGAGTGGTGGCTCACACCTGTAATTCCAGCACTTTGGGAGGTCAAGGTGGGTGGATCACCTGAAGTCAGGAGTTCAAGACTAGCATGGCCAACATGGTGAAACCCCATCTCTACTAAAAATACAAAAATTAAGGCCGGGCGCGGTGGCTCAAGCCTGTAATCCCAGCACTTTGGGAGGCCGAGGCGGGTGGATCACGAGGTCAAGAGATCGAGACCATCCTGGTCAACATGGTGAAACCCTGTCTCCACTGAAAACACAAAAAACTAGCTGGGCATGGTGGCGCGTGCCTGTAATCCCAGCTACTCAGGAGGCTGAGGCAGGAGAATTGCCTGAACCCAGGAGGCGGAGGTTGCGGTGAGCTGAGATCGCGCCATTGCACTCCAGCCTGGGTAACAAGAGCAAAAACTCCGTCTCAAAAAAAAAAAAAAAGAAAAAAGAAGCGCCGGGCGCGGTGGCTCAAGCCTGTAATCCCAGCACTTTGGGAGGCCGAGGCGGGTGGATCACGAGGTCGAGAGTTCGAGACCATCCTGGTCGACATGGTGAAACCCCGTCTCTACTAAAAATACAAAAAAATCAGCTGGGCATGGTGGCGTGTGCCTGTAATCCCAGCTACTCAGGAGGCTGAGGCAGGAGAATTGCCTGAACCCAGGAGGCGGAGGTTGCGGTGAGCCGAGATCGCGCCATTGCACTCCAGCCTGCAGCCTGGGTAACGAGAGCGAAACTCCGCCTCAAAAAAAAAAAAAAAAAAAAAAAAAATTAATTAGCCAGGCATGGTGGTGCACACCTATAATCCCAGCTACTTAAGAGGCTGAGGCAGGAGACTCGCTTGAACCCCGGAGGCAGAGGTTGCAGTAAGCCAAGATCGAGCCACTGCATTCCAGCCTGGGCGCAGAGGAGGCTCTGTCTAAAAAAAAAACAAACAAAAAATTAGCCTGGCATTGTAGCAAGTGCCTGTAATCAATCCCAGCTACTCTGGAGGCTGAAGCAGGAAAATTGCTTGAACCCAGGAGGCAGAGGTGGCAGTGGCAGTGAGCCAAGACTGTGCCACTGCACTCCAGCCTGGGCAACAAGAGCAAAACTCCATCTCGGGGGGAAAAAAACGAAAGAAAAAAGAAAAATTCCACTAAGAAAGAGGCAAGTTTAGGAGGAAAAAAACCTAGTTTCTTTTTAAGACTCTTTTTTTTTTTTTTTAAGACGGAGTTTCGCACTTGTTACCCAGGCTGGAGTGCAATGGCGCGATCTCGGCTCACCGCAACTTCTGCCTACTGGGTTCAGGCAATTCTGCCTCAGCCTCCTGAGTAGCTGGGATTACAGGCACGCGCCACCATGCCCAGCTAATTTTTTGTATTTTTAGTAGAGACGGGGTTTCACCATGTTGATCAGGACGGTCTCGATCTCTTGACCTCGTGATCCACCCGCCTCAGCCTCCCAAAGTGCTGGGATTACAGGCTTGAGCCACCGCGTCCGGCTACTTTTTTTTTTTTTTTTTAGTCTGCCTTACCTAAAGCAAGGCTTTAAAAAATTACTTTAAAAGCTGATTTGTTCCTCCCCACGATACAATCTGAAGAGAAACCAGCAAATTTAAGGTACTTTTTCTTTTTTTTTGAGATGGAGTCTCGATCTGTCACCCAGGCTGGAGTGCAGTGGTGCAATCTCAGCTCACTCTAACTTTCACCTCCCAGGTTCAAGCAATTCTCCTGCCTCAGCCTCCCTAGTAGCTGGGATTACAGGCATGTGCCACCATGCCTAGCTAATTTTTGTATTTTTAGTAGAGATGGGTTTTCACCATGTTGGTCAGGCTGGTCTTGAACTCCTAACCTCATGATCCACCCGCCTCGGCCTCCCAAAGAGCTGTAAGTACAGGTGTGAGCCAACATGCCGGCACATTTAAGGTACTTAATTGATATTTAAGAGATGTTGACTATACGACTGGGGATCCAGCTAATTCTGGAGTTCAGGGAAGAGGGCAAGGCTAGAGATATAATTCTGGGAGTTCTCAGTGTGTAGATAATAATTGATGAAAAATATAGTTAATCTGAGACATGTGCTGGATTCAGTTCACACTGGCTTGCAAGAACCAATGGTTAAATTTTCCATAATTTTTTTTTTTTTTTGAGATGGAGTTTCACTCTTGTTGCCCAGTCTGGAGTGCAATGGCACAATCTCAGCTTACCACAACCTCCACCTCCCAGGTTCAAGCAATTCCTGCCTCAGCCTCCTGAGTAGCTGGGATTACAGGCATGTGCCACCATGCCCAGCTAATTTTGTATTTTTAGTAGAGATGAAGTTTCTCCATGTTGGTCGGGCTGGTCTCAAACTCCTGACCTCAGGTGATCCACCCACCTCAGCCTCCCAAAGTGCTGGGATTACAAGTATGAGCCACCGTGCCCGGCCTCAGAAATTTTTAAAGTCAGAGGACTTCCTTTTAGTATCCGCAAATCGTCAGGTGGGTATATTTGCAACACCTGCCTTGGCAAAAGGTACACATCAGGTCCCCCAGAGCCAGTGGCTAGCCATTACCCAGCACCCCACTACATCTGACTGATTCTGTTTTCTCCAAAAAGGAAGAGGCAGGCTCTTCATCTGAGAGCAAGAGAAGGAGAAAGAAGGTGTGGAAGGTTTGAACATGTAAAATAGTCATCTTGGAGCATGGGAAAGTGATCATATTTGGGCAGTGGTGTAGGCATATTCGACAGAAAGCCTGTTTTACGCTGGTGGAGTGACACACGCTTATGCACCTTTTTTCTTCAGCAACATTCAGCTGCTTGGGTGCGGAGTTGGTGGAGTCCCATGGCTGAGTTTAATGAGGTTGTAGTTTGGTTGGTGAGTACAACCAGGGCTCACCATGAACCAGGCACTGTACGGACTACTTTGGGGATTGCAAGGAAAGAATGCAACATGATCGCCACCCTCAAAAAATGCACAGTCTTGGCCAGGCGTGGTGGCGGCTCATGCCTGTAATCCCGGCACTTTGGGAGGCTGAGGCAGGCAGAATGTCAGACCTCCAAGTTCAAGCCTGGCCGTTATAGCCTTGGTGACCCGAAGGTACACCGCTGGATGGGCTCCAGGAGCCAGAAAGTCTGGAGTAACTAGATGGCCACAAAGAGAAGTGAAATGACTGGTTCCTGCCTCAACTGATTGATCGCCTCCTGCAGCCTTCAACCATTGTTCCTGCTCAACCTTGCGAGATTTCTCCCAGACGTTAGGTTTCTCAAGACCCCATTCCTGTAACTATGTAATTTACCTCATCCTCCCCTCTGCTTGCAACTGATAACCACTACCCTTATGATCATGCCTGTTTGTAACAGGTAACACCTACGCTTGTGACCATGCATCCTGTGACGATCTTCCCCTCCCTAAAATAGATGACCACCTTTAACTGACCATTTGCCCCAACCTATATAACCAGTCCCCTTTCCCACTGCCCTCGCCTAACTCCTTTTCCCAACTTGGCACACTTGCAACCAAGAGCAAAATAAAACAGCCTCACCCTGTGCGCATGTCTGGGCGGCAGAGCGGGCCTCCTGCAGTCTCCTCTACAAATGGGCTCCGTGGCCTAGTGCCCCGTCCCTACCACGGGTGATCGTGAGGCCCAGAGGGGTCGCTGCCCAGATCCCACCAGCCCACCTTCAGACCATGGCCTCCATCCCCTCCAGCGGCTCGCTTGTGGCCATCCATGACTACCGGCGCCACCTGGGTTCCACTTCCAGCAACAGCTCCTGCAGCAGTACCCAGTGCCCCACGGAAGCCATTGCCCACCCCCCGGGTATCCCCAAGGCTGACCCGGGTCACTGGTGAGCCAGCTTCTTTCTCAGGAAGTCCACCCTCCCGTTCATGGCCACGGTGCTGGAATCTATAGAGCACCTGGAACCCCTCAAGGCCTCCAGCAACATGACCACCTGTGGCCTGGCTCGCGACACCCCGAGGAAGCAGCCCGGTGGTCAGTCCAGCACAGCCAGTGCTGGGCTCTGGTCCTGACCTGAACGGTTACCACTAGCCCCAGGCCTGCCGAGGCGCTAGGCCACCGGAGCCCCTCCCGCCCCTCTCCCCATTCCCCTCCCTGTAGACTAGGCGGCTGCAGCCAGCAGCTCCACATCAACACAGCAGACGCCAAAAACGAGTGGGGGCCCCGCTCTCTACAGCCTGGCCCAGCCTCAGCACTTAGGAGCTTTCCTGACACCTGGAACTGTGCACTTGGCACCAAGCAGAAAATAAACTCCAAGCAGCCATTAAACAAACAAATAAATAAATAAATGCTTCCTTGCCCACGTAAAACCTGCCTGGTGGTCTCTTTACGCGAGCGACGCGCCTAAGACAGAACACCTGAGGTCACAAGTTCGAGAACAGTCTGACTAAGATGGTGAAACCCCCATTTCTACTAAAAATACAAAAATTAGCCAGGCGCGGTGGCATGGGCCTGTAATCCTACCTACTCGGGAGCCTGAGGCAGGAGAATCGCTTGAACCTGGTAGGCGAAGGTTGTGGTGTGAGCCAAGATCTCGTCATTGCACTCCAGCTTGGGCAACAAGAATGAAACTCCAGGCTGGGCGAAGTGTAATTACACGCCTGTAATCCCAGCACTTTGGGAGATTGAGGGAGGCGGATCACCTGAGGTTGGGAGTTCGAGACCAGCCTGACCAACACGATGAAACCCGTCTCTACTAAAATTACAAAATTAGAGGGGCATGGTGGCACATTCCTGTAATCCTAGCTACTCAGGAGCCTGAGGCAGGAGAACTGCTTGAACCTGGGAGGCAGAGGTTACAGTGAGCCAAGATCGTGCCATTGCACTCCAGCCTGGGCAACAAGAGCAAAAAATTCTGTCTCCAAAAAAAACACTTTTCCTATCTAATGGAAACATGATGTTCGAAGGAGCCAGGAGAAGAGGAAGTGACTGAAGATGCTGGAGAAAATAGAGACAACGGATACTCGTTGGCCCAGCAGCAGAGAGGGTCTTGGGAAGGACAAAGGAAGTACTTCCTCTTGTGTGCAAAGCACTGGGCTGAGGATTCAATGCAGCTCAGGTTGCAGGCAGAGAGAATAAAAATCTGACTTGAAGAATTCCCAGATGCCAGAGGTAGAAAAGGCTGTAGTGATGGAAAGGAGGAATCCCACTGCACATCCGTATAAGACCTTCAAGCCAGAGTCAGAGAGGACTCAGACTTCTCTTTTCTCTCCCACTGCTTTACTTGGGTCCAGATCGCTTGAGGTACTCTATCATAGATAGTAAACTATTGTCAATCGCTGGAGGCGATGTCTGGTCAGTAAACACTACATTTTTTTTTTTTTTTTGAGACAGAGTTTCGCTCCTGTTACCCAGGCTGGAGTGCAATGGCGCGATCTCGGCTCACGGCAACCTCCGCCTCCTGGGTTCAGGCAATTCTCCTGCCTCAGCCTCCTGAGTAGCTGGGATTACAGGCACATGCCACCACGCCCAGCTAAATTTTTTGTATTTTTAGTACAGGCGGGGTTTCACCATGTTGACCAGGATGGTCTCGATCTCTTGACCTCGTGATCCGCCCGCCTCGGCCTCCCAAAGTGCTGGGATTACAGGCTTGAGCCACCGCGCCCGGCCATTTTTATTTATTTATTTAAACAGAGACTCACTGTATGCCCCAGGCTAGGGTGCAATGGTGTGATCTTGGCTCACTGCAACCTCCATCTCCTTGGTTCAAATGATTCTCCTGCCTCACCCTCCCGATAACTCGGATTACAGGCACCTGCCACCATGCCCAGCTAATGTTTGTATTTCTGTAGAGACGGTGTTTCGCCATTTTGGGCAGGTTGGTCTCGAACTCCTGACCTCAGGTGATCTGCCCACTTTGGCCTCCCAGAGTGCTAGGATTACATGCATGGGCCACCGCCTCTGGCCCCATTCTATTTTTAATCGCGTGAACCCAGAAAATCAGAGACAGGTCTCAATTAATTTAGAAAGTTTATTTTTCCGCCGGGCGCGGTGGCTCAAGCTTGTAATCCCAGCACTTTGGGAGGCCGAGGCGGGTGGATCACGAGGTCAGCAGATCGAGACCATCCGGGTCAACATGGTGAAACCCCGCCTCTACTAAAAATACAAAAAATTAGCTGGGCATGGTGGCGCGTGCCTGTAATCCCGGCTACTCAGGAGGCTGAGGCAGGAGAATTGCCTGAACCCAGGAGGCGGAGGTTGCGGTGAGCCGAGATCGCGCCATTGCACTCCAGCATGGGTAACAAGAGCGAAACTCCGTCTCAAAAAAAAAAAAAAAAAAGAAAGTTTATTTTTCCAAGGTTGAGGTTGCTCCTGTGACACAGCCTCAGGAAGTCCTGATGACATGTGCCCAAGATCATCGGGCCACAGCTTGGTTTCATACCTTTTAGATAGACATGAGACATTAATCAGTATATGTAAGAAGTACATTGGTTCGGTCTGGAAAGGCGGGACAAGTTGAAGCAAAGGCATGAAGACTGGAAATGGGGAGACTTCCAGGTAACAGGAGGTTGCAGTGCGCTGAGATCGCGCCACTGTACTCCAGCCTGGGCGACAGAGGGAGGCTCCGTCTCAAAAACAGAAAGAAAAAAAAAAAAAAAACGGGAGGGAGGGCAATAGAGCAATACTGTACATATAAAATGCAGAATGGTATAGTACCAAGCACACATAGATGGAATGATCTGTAGGACTTCTCAAGAGCCGTTTAGAGCTTATTCTCCCCACACCCCCAATTTCTTTGTTCCTTGGGGACCCCACACACAGCACAAACTGTGTTTTAACTCCTATTCTCTAGTGTGCAGATAAGTGCCTGGCACGTATTAAGTGCACAAAAGAGGTCGTGAGCAAGATAACGACAAATCACTGTTTCCACGTCTCCAACTACTTTTAAGCTCGTAGAGAAGAGACTTCCAACCTCTTGCGCTTCTACTTTAACACCCACTTCCAAATATGAATCAAACCGACGTCGTTAACCTATTACGTAATAAGGCAGCGCCCAGAGCCGGGCGAGGTGAGTATTTAAGTTCCGGTCACGTGACGAGAGTGGGCGGGCATCAAAGTTCATATCCCAGTATCCTTTGAGGCTACTTCCTTTTTCCTTCTTTCCGGCGTTCAAGATGTCGAAGCGAGGTGAGGTTTTACTTTTGGAGAATCCTCCACCATCTGTCGTGCAGCGGCTGGCGGGTTCATCGGGAGCGGAGGCCCTACGCAGCTGGGGCGCTGTGCTCTCCTTCAGGACGCAGATGGAGAGCCAGGCTACCGCGAGAGGACTGCCAGGGCCCCCGAAAGGGGCACTGGGGTGCTGAAGAGTTGAGATGGCAGGATCTCGACTGTAGCCTGGATACCGCTAGTTCGCTCCGCGAATAGGGCTACCGTAATGGGGTTGAAGTTAGACTGGCTTAGACCCTGGTTTGCGAGATCTCTGCGGTCTTCTGCCTTGAAGGGGTAATTGCGTTTTTGCGAAAGTTGGAGCAAGGGCTGAGTCTTCCAGGTCCCTTAATTTCGATGTCAGAGTGGTAATAGTGAGAAATGGCTACTTCCCGTGAGAATCGGGTGGCACACGGGGACGGCATAAGTAAAATTCGAGAGACCTAATCTCTAGTGCACAGTCTCTCAAAGCATGTGCGGAGTGTATGAGGAGGAACTCGGACCCATGTCTAGATAGTGGTCCCTTTATCCTGTTTCCCTTCCCTTTATATCTACAGGACGTGGTGGGTCCTCTGGTGCGAAATTCCGGATTTCCTTGGGTCTTCCGGTAGGAGCTGTGATCAACTGTGCTGACAACACAGGTGAGGTCTTCGCACGCTGCTCTACTCCTCCCCCTTTTTAAAAGCACTCAGTGGGCCTGTGGCTAATGACCCATTGAGCCGTCAAGAAAGGGGAGAGTGAAAACACCGCTTTTGGGTGAAGTGGCAGCATGATGTGTTGTTTTGCTTCAATCGGTGGTGTGACAAGGCGTTCTTGGGGACAAACTCCTTCGGCAGTGAGTGTTTGGGAAATGTTAAACTGATGCAACGGCCTGATCGGCCCTCAACACATTTTGTGATTTTTATTTACGTCCTTTTGCAGGAGCCAAAAACCTGTACATCATATCTGTGAAGGGGATCAAGGGACGGCTGAACAGACTTCCCGCTGCTGGTGTCGGTGACATGGTGATGGCCACAGTCAAGAAAGGCAAACCAGAGCTCAGAAAAAAGGGTGAGTAAACACTGAGTCCTCCTTAATACAGATGGGTAGTGGGGGGACTCTTCCTTTATTGGAAAAGGGGTCCGTTTCCAAGTTTGTTTTCCATGGAAAAGCAGTGTGAGAATAAATAAGTTTTTGCTCAGACTGTGTAGCGGGGACCGTCATCTTGTCACTTCCATATTTGCAGCTTGTGTCCTGTCTGACTTTAGAACTGCTGGTATTTGATGCGTTTTAATTTCAGCTCTTGAACTTTTTTCCCTGTGCCTGGTTAGTCTCTCTACACTGGGATGTCTTGCTTTTCTAAAGATTTGCCGGCCATTCCTTGATTCACAAATATGATGTTGACTTGTCAGCCTTGTAATACACTTACTCTAACCCACTATGCTCTCCAGTAGATTTTTCTAGCCCTTGGGTTAGAAATCTTTTTTTTTTTTTTTTTTTTTTTTTTGAGACAGAGTTTCACTCTTGTTATCCAGGCTGGGGTGCGATGGCGCGATCTCGGCTCCCTGCAACCTCCATCTCCTGGGTTCAAGCAATTCTCCTGCCTCAGCCTCCCGAGTAGCTGGGACTACAGGCGTGCACCACCATGCCCAGCTAATTTTTGTATTTTTAGTAGAGACGGAGTTTCACCATGTTGACCAGGATGGTCTTGATCTTGATCTCTTGACCTCATGATCCACCCGCCTCGCCTCCCAAAGTGCTGGGATTACAGGCTTGAGCCACCGCGCCCGGCAGAAATCTTTTTTTTGTGGCCGGCCACAGTGGCTCTCTAATTCCAGTGCTTTGGGAGGCCAAGGCAAGTGGATCCATGAGGTCAGGAGTTCGAGACCAGCCTGGCCAACATGGGGAAATCTTGTCTCTACTAAAAACACAAAAAATTAGTTGGGCATGGTGGAAGGCACCTCC